GGAAGAGAGGACCTTGTGCTGACCTATGAAATAAACTTACCTTGAACTAGAAAGTATGATTAATTCAAACTTCCGCACTTGAGGTCCTTTAAAAGCCAAAAGAAAGCCAATGGCTTTATTTGGTAAAGTGGGAATCAAATATGCCACCTCCTCACATTCAGCAACTGCCCAGAACACTTGCAGTTAATACTATCCCAAATCAAATGCTTTTCAAAAGATATCTTTAAAGAAGTTCAAGACTGAGTTAACACTCAAATTTGGGTTCATTTTTCAGAAAAAAATATAATTCTACATTTCAAGAAGGGGTGAAGGTGGAAGAAACCCTTTGTAAGACATTTAAAAAAATTATTTTCTCCCTGAGTTTTCATAAATCTCTTTTTAAACACTGTAGTAAAACATATATAACAAAACATTTGCTGTTTCAACATTTTTTACATGTACATCAACCATAACAGAAATTCAGTGGCCCTAAGAAATGGCACTCCCCCACATCCCTAGTAACCACTAACTTTGGTCTCTATACTTATGTCTATTCTAGGTATTTTATGTAAGTGGGATCACACAATACTTGTTCTTTTGTGTCTGACTTAACGTTTTCAAGATTCAGCCATGTCATAGCATGTATGAGAACTTCATTACTCTTTACGGATGAATAATATTCCACTGTGTGTATATATGACATTTTGTTTACCCATTCATTGTTTATGGACATTTAGGTTGTTTCCACCTTTTTGCTATGGTGAATAACGTTGCAATGAACATTGTATACAAATATCTGTGTTCCTGCTTTCAATTCTATCAGGTATATATTGAGGAGTGGAATTTTTGAGTCATACGTTAATTCTGTGTTTAAGTGCTAATCCGTATTCCACCAGCAATTGATGAGGGTTCCAATTTCTCTATATCCTTGTTGCCAACAAGTGTTGTTTTCCATTTTTCTGTTCACAGTCATCCTGGTCTGACTTTTAATAGAGGCTTTCTGGGAGAGTCAGGTCTCCCCTTTCCTATACGATCTTTAAACGTCATGGATAGATCATTCGCACCTGGGATGGCCCACTAGGATGGTGAGGGTATGGCCTCATTTTACCAGATATCCAATATTTAGCTCATACTAAACCAAAAAACCAAACACACTGCCGTTGAGTTGGATCCGACTCATAGCAACCCCTCCTTGGGTTTCTGAGGTGGTATTGCTACGGAAGTAGATTGTCCAACCCTCCTTCTGAGGAGTGGCTGGTGGGTTTGAACTGCCAGCCTTCTGGTTAGCAGTCAAATGCCTTACGCACTCCGCTATTTGCTCATACTAGAGGTTAAAAATAATTGTATGAATCAATTCCAGACAAGTATCACCAACCCTGGAGTCTCCCACTATCTGCCCCATACTTGTCCTGGGCAAATTTCTGACTCTGAAGGCCCCATTCCCACCCACCTCCCAAATCCCAAGCTACAGTCCAGACCACTCTCCTGTGCATCCACCTACAACTCCAAAGCCATCTGACACTGAACTCTTCCTTTCCTCCTGTGGTGGCTGCCCTCACCTTGGTGAATGGCACCACATACTAATCCAGGTCACCCAAGCTGGAAACTCTGGCATCAGCCCCAAATCCACCCTTTCTCTTGATCCCTTTCCACCCTCACATCTAACCAGGACATCCATCATGCTGTTTAGTAATCACTCATAAAATGAGCAGTTTCCCTTGTGAAACTCCAAGTAATGAGAGGACTATAACCTTATCTGTCCCATTCACCACTGCATTCACAGAGTCTACACAGTTCCTGGCTCACAAAAGGCACCACCACCCCCAACAAATAAACAATCATCTGTTACTTTTGTTTCCTTTGCCTGGAAGGCCCATCCTAGCACCTTCCTGGATCAACTCTCACCTGGGGACAAGCCTAGGCTGCTTGGTAGAGTAGGAGGAGATAACTTACCGTCTTTCATACTCCATGTCCTGATAGGGCCTGCGGGGGCTGGTGGGGCCCCTCCTCAGCCGCTGGCTCCGTTTCACTTCCCAGCCACCCCCGCTACCACCACCATGATCTGCCAGCCTGGGTGATGCCTCCTGCAGGGGCTCTGGGAAGAGGAGAGGGAAGAAAGGAGTCAAGGCAGTTGGGGCAGAGAAGACCTCCTTGAGAAACCCTAGTTGTCAAGGCTCTCTGCTGTTCCTTACCCCAGAGACGTTGTTTCCCAACTCCTGGTGCTCCTGTGGGAGCTCTGGTAGCGTAGTGCCTAAGGCACTTGACTGCTAACCAGAAGGCTGGCGGTTCAAACCCACCAGTTACTCCTCGGAAGGAAGGTTGGGCAACCATAGTGATACTGCCTCGGAAACCCAAGGAGGGATCGCTATGGGTTGGGTCCGACTCGATGGCACATAACAACAACAACAGTGCTCCTGTGAACTAAAGTGAGAACACAGCCCCTGCCTGGCTTCCTCATTCCTTTTCTCACAAGCATGAGACTAGAGCCCACTGCCCTAGTAATAGCAAGGCCTTATCAGAGAGAGAACAGCTTGCACAGAGACCTAGAACATTCCTAAGGATCATCCCGTGATCATGGCTTTGCCATTTTAGACTGGTAAAGAAGCTCAAGTCTGGGGCTGCCTGCCCAGAAGTGCTCTGGATGCTGAATGACCAGAAATTAGGCACATTATGCACTGAGACAAGACTTCGCAACAGTGGGAGTCTTAGGCACCCATCAGGTGCCATTTCACCTTCCCAACAAGATGCTGACAGACTCCTCCAAGGTGATATGGGACCATGAAAAGCTCTTAGGGGTAGGCGAAGGGGCTAACTTGGCAAGGAGACAGCTGCTGCTTTCCTGGGCTCCCAGCCAGCTCATCTTTCACACAGCAACTGGCTCAACCTTGAGCCTTACACACAGCGAGGTCCCAAGGCAGCTCTCTCCCCAGGGCTCCAAGCCCAAGTTTTCTCAGTGGCAAAAGGGGCCCTTTCAGAGGGTGCTCTTAAGTACTGTGCTATTCTGCTAGGATGAAGGAGCTGTCGCCTCACCCAATCCTCATGGTTGCCTTGAAAACTATGGGAGTCCTGAGAGTCTTAAGATCCAGCCAGGGGTCAGTACTACCTAAATTCTTCAGGCCCCACCCTCTAAAAAGGAATCAGGCTAAGCCAGATCAGTACCAGCACCTGCCCAACACTAGGTTGCTGCTACACCTTTCACCCAAGTGCGCGCGCGCGCGCGCGCACACACACACACACACACACACACACACACACACACTTTCCTCCCTGTCTCAAGCCTTAGGGAAACAGAGCTACCTCTCTCCAGATGGGTAAGGATTAGAATCACACAGGGTGGCTACTGGATCAGAGGCAGATACAAAAACCTCAATACACTCTGGCAACGGAGCCAGAGTCACAAACTAGTATCCACCACAGATAGGGGCCAAAGTGACAGATAAAACCCACTGTCGTCGAGTCGGATCCGACTCATAGCGACCCCTCCTGGGGTTTCTGAGGCGGTATTACTACGGAAGTAGATCGCTCAACCAGCCCTAAATAATCACGGGTCAAAATCACAGCTAGAACTGACAATAAACATGCCCATAATCACACACCGGAACCCCTTTCGATGGATGAACACCAGAGTCACAATTACAAACCCCCAAGGGAGCAACAATCACGCACACATTCCTTGGACGCCTTCCCCACTCAAGTGAATCAGGCCCAGTCAGAGACACCCACCATGGATAAGTACTAGAGTTACAGACATACACCCAAAGGATAAAGACCGGAGTCACATAGACATTACCCCCCGCGATGAATAAGGACCAGAGCCACAGAACAATTCTCCATGGACAGATAAGCATCAGATTCTCACAGAGCAGAAAGCACACTTCCCTTATGGATAAAAACCAAAGTCGCAGACACCGTCTCTCAAAGTACGGTGTCGCAAACACAGCAAGTCACAGTAACCCACTCTCATTTGCCCTTCCCTTCCCCCAACCCGCGTGCACCCATCCCGTCCCCCAATCGCGCACGCGCCTCTGCGCTCATTAAAAAAAAAAAAAAAAAAAGACACCCCCTTCTAGGTTCAGACAGCTCATACATCGCTGGGTTCTGCACGTACATCACACTCCGCAGGCCACAGTTCGCCCTCGTGCCACCTCTACGCCCCCCGTCCCTGACCTCCTCCCCCACGACCAGCATCGAAGCTCACCTTCTCGATCCGGGCTGTCAAGGAAGGGCTCCCAGACATCACCTCGGCCCGCCGCCACCTCCTCCAACTCTCCCAGCTCAGCTGGAGGCGGCTCGCACAACAACTAAGTCTGAGGCGAGAGGCAAAAGGGCAGGAGGGGGGAGGGGAGAAGCGCCAGGCGCGCTACCCTCCCCAGGAAAGTCACTGCCGCCTACTCCCAGCCGGCCGCAATCACCAACACAAAATGGCGGCGACGAGAAGAGAGCCGGCGCTTCGACCACCATCCACCTACTAAGGGAGCGCGTTCTGGCGGGTTTCCTCTATTGGCCACCGTCTGTGTCGGCCAGCCCTGGCCTCCTCTGATTGGCAAGCGTATGCCACCTCCCCACACTTCGTGTGAATGCCTGCAAGTCGAGAAATAGAATAGCTATTGGCCAATCCAGCAAGGCCAGTTTTTTAGAATCTTGGTTTCCTTTGAAGATAAAAGTCAAGAGGAAGCTCCGCCCCCTTCCCCAAAGGGCAAAGGAAATCTCTGTGCGATTGGCTGGAACAGTATCCACCCAAATGTCACCGCTTTCTTCCCACCAAGGAAGTGAGCAGACCTAGCCAAAAGAAATTTCTTGGCTTGACCTAGAAGAGAATAGAATAGCTGGTCCCGTGAAGCCATGAAAGAGGGAAGGAAAAAGGTCTACTCAGTGTCTAGCCTCATTTGAAAATAAAAGTGGACCTGAGACCTATTTAGTGCGGCGGGGGCGGAGCGACAATTATCGCGCTCGGGCTAGCTGCAGCTGCGCAAAGTAGCATTTCCGTCCCCGCCTCTGAGACCTTGCAGAACAAATCTGTCATGGCGGCGGGCCTGTTAGGTTTGTGTGCTCGCCGCCTTTTGGCGGCAACGGCGCTGCGAGGGCTTCCCGCTGTCCGTGTCCGCTGGGAATCTAGTGCCTCCAGAGCTATAGTTGCTCCGCCCGCCATGGCGAGGAAGCGGCTTCGGGAACCGGCCATTCGCTGGCAGGAAGACCCGGATCCCGAGGACGAAAACCTCTATGAGAAGGTGAGAGGGAGGAGGTAAAGGAACGCCGGAAGGGTCAATCTGGGACTGGCGGACGGGGCGCCGTAGAGGACGTTTTTAGTTGGCTGAATATTGCGCAGCCAATGAAGTCCTCGAAGATTTGGAATTTTGCCTAGCATGTATTTCGCCTTTGTCCCCCGATATCCAAGGTCCAGACAGAAGTGAAACTGACCTTATTTTGCAGACAGAAAATCTAACCTGAAATGACAGGGCTCAAAACACGTTATAAGCAATATAGTATTAATAACAATAATGTTAAGTATCTATATGGCGCTTATTCTGGACCAGACAGTGTTCTAAACACTTTATGTACATTAGCTCATTTAATCATCAAAACAACCATATTTTGAGGTAGGCGTTATTATGTACCCTTTTTACAGATGAGAAAACTGAAGTACAGAGATGTTAAGTAGCTTACCTAAGTTCACATAACTGAATAAATGGTAGAACTAGTATTTGAGCCTAGATCTGCCAGTCTGCTGTGCTGTTTTAGTAGCAGATACTTTGAAGTCAGATGACCTGGGTTAAGACTCCAGGCACTGATAGTTACTCACCTGTGTGACCTTGGACAAATAGCTTAACCCCATGTGCCCTAGTTTCTTTGTAAAATAGGGAAAGTAATACGACACCTGCCTCATGAAATTAAATGAGTCAAAATGTTCAGAGCACAGCTAGCACTTAGTTAATGTTACCCATTTTTAAAAAAAGTTGCCACAGAGTATATCCCGACTCATAGTGATCCTATAGGACAGAGTAGAGCTGCCACATTGTTGTTGTTATGTGCTGTCCAGTCGGACCTGACTCACAGTGACCCCTCTTTGGGTTTCCGGAAGTAGATTGCCCCATCTTCCTTCTGAGGAGTGGCTGGTGGGTTTGAACCGGCAGCCTTCTGGTTCACAGTCAAGTGCCTTTGGCACTACGCTACCAGAGCTCCTAGAACTGCCACATAGGGTTTCCATAATCTTTACAGAAGTAGACCGCCACTGTGGCTAGTAGGTTCAAACTGTCAATCTTTCGACCTTTCAGTTAGTGGATAAACTCTTAACCGCTGCACTACCAGGGCTCCCTTAGTTAACATTAAGCTCCCCCCAAAAAACAAACCCACTGCCATCAAATCTATTCTAACTCATAGTGACCCTATAGAACAGTAGAACCGCCCCATAGGGTTTTCAAGACTGTAATCTTTATGGAATCAGACTGCCTCATCTTTCTTCTGCAGAGTGGCTGGTGGGTTCAAACTGTTAACCTCTTAGTTGCAGCCATATGCCTTAACCATTGATCCACCAGAGCTCCTTTCAGTTGATATTAAACCAAAAGCCAAACTAACTGCCATTGAGTTGATTCTGACTCATAGCGACCCCCATTGGGTTCCCAAGGCTGTAAGTCTTCATAGAAGCAGACTGTCTCATCTTTCTTCCATGGAGTGGCTGGTGAGTTCAAACCACTGACCTTTTGTTTAGCAGCCAAATGTTTTAACCACTGTGTTAAATACCACCAAAGTTCCATTCAGTTAACATTAGAAGGTATTGTCACTTTCCACCTCACTGAGATGTTGAGGATTGTATATGTAAAAGGCCTGGCACATAATAGGTACCTCATCAGTACTAACTTCTGGCAGAGAGGCTTTGATATATAGGATGCTTAATCATTATTCATTAATTCTGTAAATATGTATTGAGGGGCTTCTGTATTCCAGGCACAGTTCAGGGCTCTAGGGATACAGCAGTGTAGAAATCAGACAAAGCCCTTGCTTTCATAGAGTTTACATGATAGTGGGGAAGACAGAATATAAACAAGTAAAATATCAGAAGACCATAATATAGAGTAAAGTGATAGATAATAGTATAATATGACTCAGAGGATCTGAGTATATACTACTTTGATAAACTAACATAATTTCAAATAATTATAAATGCTAGAAAGCGAGTTAAGCAGGATAAGGGAATAGAGAGTGACTTAGAAATGGGGGGTTATTTTATTAGGTTGAACCATACAAAATTGTCAATATTCAACCATTTTTGACCTATAAAAATTACAATTTCCTATGCTTCAACTTAAATAGACAAAATGACTAGAAAATACCCCCCAAAGGTAGTGATGATTAAGCCAGAACCTTGAATAAGGTGTAGCCAGCTAT